GGTTTAGCTTATGATGTACCCTTGTTAGAAACTTGAAACTCAATCACAGCTAAATTTCGCGTTCAATTAATTCTCTCTTGCATTGCATTGCACCCATCTGAACATACATACGTCTCACTTTCCTAGTGTTCAATGTACATAACATACAACAAACTGGAAAGCTCAACGATACAAAAGAGATACACGTACAGATTGTCCAGTTATCTAACATCAAGAAAAATAATATCCAGAGCTTCGACTGAAGCCAAACGCGGACAATCCAAAGAGCCGAGTGAAGTGGTATCGACTTAGGATAAGAAAAATAAGAAAACGAAGCAATGAAACAAGTCAAAGCAATATGATCTCAGCATTATATATAAATCTCGGACATGATAAATCACACACACTGAACTCATGGAGAATCACACACAGTAACTAACAACACATGAAAACACAAGAAACATCATATGTGGTAGTAGTAATAGCAAACAAGGAAATCAGACACACACACAAGAAACAGAACGAAGGGAATCCCGAGAGGTTAGTTCAATTACCGATATCATATACTTCAATGCGATGGCTTTTCGAATCTAATCTTTCCACACCCATTCAAAAATATACATGAACGGCTCATACGGATAATCACCCAGGACAAGTCCCTGGGCGTATTCGACCAGGTCTTCGTCGGGGATATCAAGGGCTCGGAAGCGTTCCTTTTCGCCGCCGCCGCCACGGACTCGTACACGCTTATCGACCAAGGTGCGGAGCATTTTCTTCCCTGGGGCGACGAGAAGGTATCTTGCTTCTTCTGTAGTGTCGGAATTGGGGGATGCGGGGGCGTAGCAGATGGATTCTTGATGCTCTGGAGTGGTCCATTGGACTTTGCTGGGTGGGTAGGTGCGCGGAGGGTTGTCGATCATGGTGTAGCGGATGTCGGATTCGCGGGCGAAGACGATGACTGTGTTGACGTTGGGGTTGAGTTTCAGCCGGAAGGTGGTGAATTTGCGATAATCGAGGTGGTAAGCGGTACTGGCTGTTATATTGACTGGTCGGGTGGTGTCGATTTGGCGGATTCTGGTGATGGCGAGATCGCGTGCTGCAACGGGACATTTGTGCTTCATCCGGATGGACTTGGATTCGAGACGGGTGACGGATGGGATGCATTGGGGAGCATGGGAGGCTGATCCGGCCTTGTGGCATGTATCACTGCAGAAGCGGAAGATCTTGCAGGCTGATCATTGCATGTTAGGTTAGGATTGCGCGTGGGAAAGGCGAGGGAAGGAAAACTTACTGTTGCACAAGGTGGTGGTAGGGGTGCCGCACTTCTCACATGGCCCAGGCTCATGCAACGCCCATTCTTGTCTCTCGGCTGCGAGCATATTTCTTCGTCCGTTGAGGGCCGATATTCTCTCCTCGGCGGGATCTACCTTCGCCTGCAGGTAGCGGAATTCCGGGGCTCGTCGTGCCATAAGGGCCAACTGTTTGTAGGCAAGTATGGCCTTGTCGATAGAGTCGAGCTGTTCGCATGCGAAACAGAGGGAACTCAGAGCATCCCACGTCTCAATCGCTTCCGGTCCCTTGGTGGCGAGGAAGTCTTCAACTAAGGTTTCGAGGATATTCGCGGCATCCCGATGTAGGCCCGCTTTGCTATATTCTCTTCCTAGATAAAAGATAACTCGCAGCGCGTCTGGTTCCCGAATATGTTGATATTGGTTGAGGATATCTTCTATTTCACTGGGAAAGTCAAAGTTCTCAGAGCATTCAAGATACCGAACGAGTGATTCTCTCATGATAGGACTGGTAATACCGAAGACTGCCTTGTATTGAGGGATGGTTCGGCCGCAGATCATTCGCGCCTCGTTAGGGAATTTGAGTTTGTGGTACAGGAGAGATAATTGGTTTTTTGCACTTAACGTTCTTTCGTGTTGCAGCCCAAAAACCGTATCGAGTGCTGGGACTGCTTTCTCCAGGAGGAGGAGGGCCGATCCCAAATCACCTAAAGCGACCTTTAGCGCGGCAAGGTCCTGCATGCTCTTTAGGGTCTCTGGGGCGTTGTGCCCCAGTGTCTTCAAGCGACCTGCAAACGAGCGCTCGTATAAAGCTGATGCTATCGTAGCATATACATCCTTTGAACTAAGTGCTCCTAGGTCATGCAGAATGGCGAAGTTATTGGGATAGTCGCGCCCAAACGTCCGTTTGAATAACCCCAGAGCCTTCAGATAACAGACAGTCGCCTCTTGTGTCCTTTCTAGATGGCGATATGTTCGTCCCAGGGAATGAAAAATTACCGCTCGGCAGTTCTGGTCAATGTCCAATGCTGGATACTCATCGAGCATTCTCAGGGCAGTGCGAAATTTGAGATCTGCAACGTCTAGATTCCCCTGCTCCAGAGCAGTCTCGGCTCGCATCTGGGTGTGAAGGATACGAGACCACATGCTTGCTGCCGAGAGTTCGTCTTTAATCTGTAGGAAAAGCTGTGCAATTTCATCAATTTTCAGGATCCTTTGACGCCCAGATGCATCGTGGACAACCGCGCCGCCTGAGATATGCTGGGTGTGGATGAAGACATTCTGCGTTTCCCGTAGCAAGGCCATGTATTCGGTATCCGCGACAGATTCCTGCGTAGGCTCCGTTACCTGCGTCCTGCCACTCGTCGAAACCACGTCACTCTTCCGGGTCGTTGCTGCTCTCCTTTCGCTTCGCGTGTACTTGGTGACGAACGAGAACCGTATGGTGTTCGCCCTCTTGATCAACTTCTTACCGCGATCTGAGGTGGATCGTGCACGCGAGACACCTGCAGTAGTGAGTGCTAATTCGATATATTGGCTTCAGTATACTGACCTTTGGGAACCTTGCGACCGAAGAGCCTTTGCAAGAATGATTGCCTCCATGAGGCTCTTTGTTGCGCTTGCGGGCGTTCATTCTCAGCCTGGCCACTCCGGAGCTCGTTCTTGGTGTCCGTCAAGTCACTTCTGGGATGACCGCTTTCCTGTTCACAGAGCGTCCGTTTTGACTCCACTATGGATCCATTATGATTAACCCCTATAGTAACAAGATTAGCTGAGCTTATGGCTACTCAGTCGGCTTCGTATATACCATTGGTAACGTAGCTCATTGTTGACTGGGTTGTGCCCGCCTCATTGTTGCCTTCGATTTGCTGATAGATGCCGTGGGGGGCATGTACTGCCATTCTCATTAGAATGTTGAGATAATCAAAGACCAGGCGACATACCTCGTTCCAGGTCATATAGCCCCGAGAATCCGATAGCGACCAGCTCATCCTCTTCCCCTTGTGAGAACTCTTGGGAGTATGAGTACTGAAAACATCCAAAGACTGGTTTGGAGACAACGTACTTCTAAACGACCATGATTCACGTATCTTTCGGGCCTTTCTGGAAAAGGACTGGTCCCCAGTGCCGTTCGTTGATGGAACTTTGGAGCTCATGGAACCTTTTTGCGTAAAGCTAGAACTTCGACTGTGATTAGCACTAGCCATGTCTCTGGCCGTGCCTCTAACAACGATGTCGTCCCGCGGATCGTTCAAGATCGGCTGGTATCTGCAATCTTCACGTCAGAACCAGTCCACGGTACACATAAGATCTCAACCATAGGGGAAACTGACGAGACATTGCATGGTTCACCACAGTGCTTGCAGTCAACCAAAAATGGCGTATCTGAGACTTGGTTAGGCTCCGCTAGCGAACATGACAGTGGCAAAGCATACTTCGTTGCCGATCAAGCCCTTCCTCCTCACCATCGCCAAATGTAAATGGCCTTTCACAGTTACCACAGAAAAAGCAAATGGGGCGGGAGTTGAGCGGAATAAAGCGTTTCTCAACGCGGTATCCTTTTGTGATTAGACTATTACGGTAGATGAAGTCAGCTTTTCTATCTAAACGAGACGAACAAGGATCAGATACCGGTCCCGCGTCATCACATAGACGGCAATCGCAGTGCCAGGACAGTATTTTGTTAGATAGTGATGTTTCAGCTCGCTCCTGCATGGCTTGTCAATTTGTGTACCAATCGAAGGGGCAATATCAGGTTCGGTCGTACGACGAAGAGAAAACCGCATCGCAGTCGGGACAATTGATATCCACTGCACCAAATATGGTCCCATCATCGTCTCGGAACGGAGGAAAATAACGCAAAGCCTCCTGAGGACTTGCAATACCGGGATATGCATCATCCGTTTCTACCAGCCAGATTAATCCCAATTTTAGCCGATGCAAAACAACCACAGGCTGCATTCATATGTAGGTAGCCGGGGGCAGCATACCGCTCGTAGATCTGCCGACTAAAGAGAGCAGCACGTCTGAGGCTCTTAGAACACGGCCCTTGGCCTCGAATCTGTTTGGAGCACCCTGTATCGAGTTTCTCAGGATGATATCGGTATCGAATTGTCGCTTTGCCTCCGTCTGCAGCCCTTGAATGTCGCCGAAATCTCTGACCAATCGATGTCGTCGGTTAGTGGTTGATTGATCACCCATACAGGCTGCAGCCATGACAGCAAAGGAATGCGTGAACTTACCTCTGAACCGACGGATTAGCGTCGGAAACGGATTCCGTAGTCATCTTGGGGGGATGTGAAGAGGATGCACAAGGACAGGAGAATGAGAGGAAAAGACGACGTCGAAGATGTGCGGCAGTCCGTTTCAAACAAAATGTCGGAACGAGAACAGACCATTAAAAGTCAGGATGAGGCGTCACTTTTAATGAGCTGTTGGACATGCTGGCACAGATACATACATATGCAGGTCAGCCGGTGGTCTTGTCTAGAAGTAAACGGCGGTGCCCCATTCTTGATGGTTTCTAGGAGGCACTGGGGAAGTTTCTCCTCTAGCGCTAACGCTTGTCATCCCTCGCATGTTAGTCTGGAACAAAGCTTGCGAAGGAGAGGCGCTTGAGTTCAGCGAAAAGTGATATATTGGACGATTGATCGATCGAAGTGCCGAGGGAGGGATGGACGACAGGGTTGGTTGGCAGGCTTTGCCGTTCATCTTTTTGCATCACCAGCATCGAGAGCATTATCTTGATTCCACAAACTGACGGACCGCCTTGATGCAGCCAGCGAGTGCATTTGCCTATGTTCCCCTCGTTCTCCTCCCTGCAATAAACAAACGGACCCCCCTTGCGTCGAACAAGTTCGAGGGTCAAACCTGTCCGCGCCTCTGCGCCCTCACCGCATTATCTCTGTCCCAAAAGTCGAGCCATAGATATATCATATCAAATCGTTCCTTTTTCCCTTATTGACTTGTTGATGATTTTTCACCTTCTAAGCAATGCCATTGGCACATCATTTGTCAGATCTCCCGGGCTGAGTCGTGCCTCTCGGCGAAGACTCAAAAAAAAGCAAAGGGAAGCCTCGTTTGCGATCGTCGGAGGGCCCTTCTCTCCTCCCGAGTTGATACATCACAGCCGCGTCAGGGACGTTTCCAATAATTGGCTGGACCACGAGATAGTTCCAGCAATATCCATGCTAGTCGACCTGCTTCTAAGGACATGTCAAGGTTGGGGTCCCCAATGAATAAAGAACATGCTAGGTGTTTGGCTGTCAGCTGAAGCACGTCCAGACGTGCGTGCAAGCGGGATCCATTCAACCTCACCGTGTCCATGACAGCTTGCATAAAGTAATGAAGCTTCCTGCAAGCTAGAAAACTGGAATAGAACACCCGAAGAACCACCACGGAACTGGGTGGGATGAGCATCGAAGCAGTTCCCGAGACAATAGTCTGGAAGTTTGTTTCAGACCCGATTTGTCACATCGGAAATAGATATGATTAACCATTAAACTTTCGCCCTTCTGTTCAATACTCTGGCCACTCTCTCCATGGCGCCAGGGAAGAACGCCTGCCGCAGCAGATGGCTTTCAAAGCCGAGCTTGCTATTCGGTTTGCGGTGGGTTTGAGCGGGAAGACAGGCTGGGTCGAAGAAGGTTCGGGATGTCCGCTGGCCTGTAAGGACGGCTTTCCCTCCACGGTCCGCCCTCTCACAGTACGTGGACAGGCGTGACGTACCAGCTGATGAACAATTTCAAATGCTCTCGACACAGAGTAGATGGCCATTTTGCCTTCATCTAGGGCTCCTGCTAGCTTCCCGTCCTTCACTGGGCTCCTTGCAAATTGGCTGACGAAGACCGCCTTGATTCCTAGAGGCGCGCCATCCCAGCACTGTCAGCACGGGTAAACAGCCTCATGAAGGGGCTCCTGAATTGTTACGAGAATGATGCTGGATTTCAAATTGTGACATCCCTAAGAAGGGGAGGGAGTTATTCAGTAGATCTGCGGATATTCGGTTGCATTTCCCTTGTTGTGGGCATCCTTGTAAGCCCAGTCCCGTAGATAGAGGAGTCTGGAATAATAACATAGCTGGACGATCAAAGTATGATCGGTGAAAGATGACTATATACGCTTGTAGTAAATTATGAATGCTACAGAAAATTGTGGTACACTGTGGTATCAACCCAAACAAACGCCCTGTAGTCAAAGGAGATCCTCGGAAGAAGTAGGCAGCCCGTAATGCAAAGTAGTCATGAGAAAAAGAAAAAAAAGTACAACAAGGACTAGACTAGCTGTCATTGATGTTGAAATTTAGCAACAACAATCCATAAGAATGTCGTGCTGCTCAAGCCCATTTCCAGCCCGAATGTCTCGACTCCGGACTGTTGATGACCGAGGAGAGAAAACTTTTGCGTTTCCTCAAGGAAAATCCCCTACTGCTCTGCTCATGGGTCTTGCGTTCTCTCGTGAGTAGGGATATCGCCGCGTTTACATTGATACCTTCACCACTGTCTGTTATCTTAAGTGCCCACTTGGCGTCCTCCTCCCCAAAGCCAAGCTCTCGAACCATTATGTCGATGGCGTGGTCAACAGGGTCGCGAACCTGTGGTGGGTAGTACACTGGTGTGACTGGTTGGAGGGGTTGCATATAGGACACATTCGTCATGTAAGAGTGGGTAGTAGGCGGTATTTCTATCCTCGATACAGACATTGGCGGCTGAGGCGCGGGCGGAAGGCCTTCTAGGCGGCTCATGATGGTTGCATAATGAGATATGGGCCGTTCTTCAGCGAGCATAGGATGAGGCGGACTTGGCTGCTGTTGTCTCTGAATCCTCAACTGGGCAGAATAGGCGGCTTGCCGTCGGCGATGGAAGTCAGGCGAAGGCTCTCTCTCGCCGCGAACGTTAGACGTCTGTGATACATCATGCGACCCTGAAGGCTGGGAGCTAAAGCCAGACGAGCGCATCGACGCCTGAGACGTGCTACTTCCCCGTGGCTGACAAGCTTTCGACACAGCCTCTCTCAGGAATGACGAACGGCTCGCACCAGTGTCAGATGCTTCCCAGTTTGTCAAGCCCATGGAATGAGCTCTCTGGAAAACAGCAGTAGTGTTGTCATAGGGATGAATGGAGCCGAGCACCAAGACTGCTGAGAGTCCAAGTGTGAGAATGTAGTAGGTCCACTCCTCTGCTCAAACGGGTTAGTGATTTGGAAACAGTTAGACGACAACTTCATAAAGGTGGGGTTCGCTTACCTAGAACTGCTGCTTCCTTGGCAGAATCATTTGCCTCTACATCATGCCCATCGAATACTCCAGTTGCTCGTGCTTCAGTACACTTACCGTGCATTGGCTGAAGAAGCACACCTAAGCAGGTCCATATTTCTGTCATATCAAGAAGCTGCTCCTTTGATAGGCCTCCATTATTGCCGTCCCCAAATCCGGTAGGAGGTTCGAACAAAACGCTATTTGCGTCATATGGATCGGCTATAGAAGTGAATTCGGAAACACGTCGATTCCTGGCCACCTCGCCACCCCTCAGCCAATCCAACTGTCCCGCAATGTCTCCCTCTCTACCTTTCCCAGAACCAAAAAGGCGACAGAAAGTCCAAACCCGCCAAAAGGCATCATCGACCTCGGCAGCACGGATATCGTCGGTGCCGGAGAGCCCACGGATCGTTTCGGGACGCAGAAAAGTCCCACAACGAGCTAGTATAAGCGATTTGAGATGAGCCAGTGTGTATATATCCTCAGCATAGCGCTTGAGGTAGCAGCTTGGCGTGTATTCAGGCACAGGGGCGTCAGGATCCAGCACAAAATGCCATTCGGTATCCCATGGTGGGCTCATTTCGCGCAACTCCCATGCTGGCGCAGACATGGCGAACACGGCTATCCGTATGAGCTTCAACTCGTGCATCTTAAAAACCCGATAGAAATCTTTGCGGGCTACCGCAACATTGAAAAGGTCGTCAAGGGAGGTGATGTGCTCCAAGACCGTTAGTATAACGCGGTCGGGCAAAGTGCCAGGCATTGCCCCGACAGATGATACACCGACAGATATCCTGACAGGCACCACATCGATCGGACTGGTGGTATCGCCTTGCAGCTCAGCGGGCGGTTGTGTGGAACCACCCTCCAGCTCATAGACCATACCTGAAGTTTGCGAAGTTGGTTGATGTTGACGAGTGGAATGTACCGGCATACCATCGAGCTTACTGTACGATACGAAGTACTTCTCTCCGACAGAAGCACCCCTTGCTCTGCCGTTTGGTCTTCTAAGCTGCTCAGGGCCTTCATGAGTGCTGTGGATGTTGTCTCTTTTCCGACCGGGGGCCCCCATTTCCTTTGTCTGAAGGCGGGGAAGCCTCATCCGAAGTTCCTTCTCTCCGCCAGCGGAGGAGGGTCTCTCACGAAAACCAATGACTGAAGACCCCTGTAACTCAGCGACCTCGCTGTCTCCAAGTTCTGCGACAGCTGGCTGATGTAAGACGCTGGCCCTGTAGGATTCAGGTTCCGACTTGGAGCTGGTGTTACTAGTGGATCGATGATGGACACGACTCAGTTTCCGACCGAAAGCTGGTACTGTGAAGGAAAAGGACGGCTTGTTCTTGAGTAGTTTCTTTGTCTGTTTCATATCTTCGCGGGACTTGGCTTTGTGGATCTGACGATTATCATGCACGCTAGCAGGGGGTCGAGGGGCTGGTCGCGTAGCAACCATGTCCATATTGCCTCTACTAATCTGCAAAGGCCCGTCTAGAATTTGAAGAGGACTGCGAGGGGAGAGTTGCGCGGGACTGTGCTGTTGCTCAGTGAGTCCGGCTAGAGTCCTCTCCAGATCGGTGCACGCCTGCGACAACGTCGGATGATGATGACTTGCATGCCTTTTTGAGCGTGGCGGAGGGTCCAACCGGCTAAGGTATCCGGGTCTATCAGGAATTTGAGGTGTTTTATGGCGGATTGAGAGTGGAGTCAACTCAATGGGAGGCTCCTGAGGGAGAGGCTTGTCTTTGGACTGAGCAATCGAAGAGCGGCTCGGGAACGGAGGAGGAATTTGATGCGCAAATTTTGACTCGTCAAACACGCCAGCTTTCGTGGGCGACTTTATGTGAAGACTATCCACCAGTTTATGAACTGGTGATGTAGCTTCAGATCCCTGACTCGTCAAGGAAGACCTGCTGGTGTAGCTTGATGACCTGTTATCTGCCACATCTTCAGATGACAGAGATGAAGGCCCTTTGCTTCTTCTCTCTGGTTGCTGTGAAGGACCGTCAATATGAGGCGGACCCTTCGTGAGAGGTTGCGGAAAGGGCGGATTTGTACTGTTAGTGGGGGACGCCAAGGAGAAGTGAGAGGACAATTCGGGGAAAAAACGAGCCCAGCGAGTTCCAGACCATGGAGGTGCTCTCTCAGAGATAGGCGATATGGAAACATCATCGTCGTCGTCGTCATCTCCAGGGAAGTCGTCATCCACCATGTATGGGGCATCTGACGCTTTTTTCTCTGGATGAGGAGATGTTGATCCCATTGCGACAGCGGTGGGTTGTGAAACGGGTGAATTGCGCTTAGGCATGTCCATCACCTCCATCTTTGGGACTGAGGGGGCCTGTGATTAGCCTTATACCAACTCTTGAAAGCCTGTTTAACGTAGGACTGGCTTCCGAACTGAGCCAACAGTTTATCCCCTGGGGCACCTGGATGGTTCGATCGTAACAATTGGCTGCTACCTATACACAAAGTCCGTTGTCATATGGCACAGTGCACCCGTTCGTTTAGGGACATGTACAACATGGTCTTGAAGGCGCCCTTGTTGGTATTCTTTGTTTGGACCGACAATGTTATTCCAGGGATTGTTCCGTATATTTAAAAGTACGACTGGCCGAACTAAGTAGATCCTCCCAAAATCCGAACGAGCGGAGTCCGAAATGGAGGGCCGGAGACGAATGCGAAAAGGCCGTTGAGGCGCTCACAATCAAATAAAGATTGGTCCCAAGTTTTGCGTGAACCCTTTCAGAAAGGGTGACAAGGATTGCGAAAGGTGGCACCCGACTGTTCGCGACGGATCAGCTCAAAGGGACCACGGAAAGCGCAGTGTTGGGTTCAGTATACTGACAGTCAACGCCGAGCGGGCGAACAAAGAAAAAGAGTTTCGAGGGAGCAGATGACGCGCGACCGACAAAGAGTTTCGAGACGCACAGCTAGGAGCATATGAGGGTTTGTAGCAGATAGAAATGCCATTGAAGTCCTACCCAAGTAAGACTGGAATGAAATCTGACTCGAAATCCCGGTCGTCGCAGTCCCCACGTGCCGGGGGGAGATGCTTTTCTTATCCCTAAATCGGGAGGGAATGCGCGTCCGGGCAGTTGGGGACATGACGCCAGCTAATATTTTATGGAGTAAGCAGAGGTGGATGGGCACAGCAATGCACAGCGATAGGCTAGGGAGACGGTGCCACGAAGAATGGATCGACTCCTAGCAAAGACTGACTTCTTGTCAAGCCGCGACTAAAACCGCGGGGGCCAAAACTACGGGGAGATAGTACACCTTTAGTGAGAAAGACTACTGTAGTCGTCCGTGCAACTTATCCCGGGGAGGAAAGCGAGTTGTTTCTTGTCAGAGTCTCCGCCCGTCTTCCGGATCCGAGGGGCCAAACATCCCCCTCAATCTATTCATCATCATGTTGACAATAATCTCACTTTCTTGTTCGCCTTACGGAGATTCCTATCCCTATTTCCTCAATGTTCGAAGGACGACTCGGTTACTGGAGATGTGGAATCTGCGATAGACTCAGTTCGTTGTGGCTGCGCCATCCACCAGCCTTCTGATCGCCAATCCTCCCGCAGTCCCCATTGTCTCTTCAGCTCGTATGACCGTTACCGAATTCTGCTGCAGCCACAGCCTTGATCTATTAATTACACCTCATTAACCCACCTTAACCTACTTTGGTCCAGTGCAGGGCAGTGTCTCACGAATAAGATAGGGAGTACACTAAACCCGGACTGGGATGACAATTTTCAGCAGATTGCGTACGCCGTCTCTATCCATCCCTGTCTGCCTCGTGTAAAACCCAGGTAGGTGGGTGCAGCATCATGGATTCAGTCATGCCGCCGGCCTTCGGACGTCGGAGCACACTCATACGTGCATGCAATGATGAAAGTGATCTGCGGGTAAATCCGTGTTTAAACTCCGTAAATCTACGGAATAGTCAGTCAAAACGATGGATGCTTTCTTAGTAAGAATCGAGGGATCGATCCATCCATACGAACGGTCGCTTGTTATTCGGTTCCTCCAGTCCCAGGATCAATGAAACTGTGTTTGAGACAGCCGATCACTTAGCTAAGACGGACTCCAACGCCTCATTTGTTTCCTCGCATGGATTACTATTTTCATTACTACATAACTGCTCGACGAATAAACACTTGGTTCTGGAGAGCATCATGGTTTAAATTGGCGTTGGTGTCACGGGGGCGTGCAGCCAATTCGAACCTCATTTAGATTGAATCGATTCTGAGATTCGGCGTGTCTCGCAAGGCACAGAATTGCCTGTCAACAATGAGCCCCCAAACATATCACCTGACCACGATTTGACTGACTCCTGTTAGAAGCTTCCTAACAGCGTATCTTCTCCAAACCTCCTGAATTGACACAAGAAAAGTTGCCTACGCGATGATAGCCTAGATCATCTTACTCCAAGGTGGGTTCAAGTTGCCTTGCCATGCCGTATCGGGTTACGGTTCAGGTACACCCGCACTGGACCGTACTTTCCTGGTTCTCGCCATCCACTATCCATCTCCAAATGATAACGCCAGTCGTCCAATAAACAGCAGAAATGCGGGAAGAACGGGCTTCAGGCATCGTGTGTCGTCCATGTGTTTTGGCCCCGAAATGAGGGTGGGCCTACGGCCCAGCTAGGCTTCACTATTGCAGCTCTCGGTTACTCGGGGACGGAAAATGGGGGCCAAATGGAAACAAAACGGGTCGCTCAACAAACCATTCATCAATCTCAACGTTGCCTGACAATCATGCGGAGCATGGCCCAGTGAACTACTTATCTAGCGGACTGCCGTTATTTCAAGCCTGGCCCCTTTTTATCTTTGGTTTGATCAGGCTCCTCCTGCTTGTGTGCGCTTGCCGGTGCTCTGTTGCTCCCCCTGGCGAGCTTACCCAACACGGTAGGGCCAAGTAATAAATGTCTCAAGTTATATGTGCTACTGCTCTAGGAAGCATAAGTTGCAAATCTTGAGAATTCTTGTCAAAATATTTGCGAAACCAACAGAAACACCACCCGCAGGCCCCAGGTCCCCAGCGCCCAACTTAGCTTCCAACATAGACCAATCAGCCCGGCAATTTAAGCAAACCCCTTAGTTGACATGATACAGCATCAACCCGACATCAGGCTCAGATAAACAGCCCAGAGCACACCGAACAGACTGCCAACGAGTAGCCGTTTGTCTGTTGGGACAACGGTGAAGTTCAGGATAGAGACAATTGGCCACAGTTTGAATCCGGCGATCAGGATGGGCCAGAAATCCTGACAATGATAGGTCAGCAATCCAGTACAGATCATATTAATTCAAGCCTGGAAAACAAACCTTCTGGATCTGCAGCGTAATGGCGTCCCAGCTCTGGCCGCGCAGAAGCCCCATCGTCGTGATAAAGACTGCCGTGTTCCAGGCACCGCCGATGATCTGATCGATGACAATCTTCGCCACAGTATTGGTGACATTTAGCCTGGGCTTCTGTGCCACCTTCTTCTCCGCTTTTGGCTTGGGGACAGAGCTCTCATCATAGCCCGGAAGCTTTGCCTCGAGGCCTTCAAGCCACAGGAAGGTCAAGGGTGAAAGAACGAAGGCACAAGTAGTGAACTGAAATAAGGCTTGAGTGTCTAATTCAAAGGGTCTCTATAGGCATCATAATATCGGCAACCATGGGGGGCCACCCACACGGATTGCCAATGAACCATATCCATGGTTAGTGAAGTGGTAATCGAATAGTAGCTATCACTCCGCACAAGAGCGAACGAATCATTTTATCTCTGACCCGACATCATTGCCAGGCAATTTACTTTTACCGAGGAACAAATCAACATACCTCATCCCTGTAAGCTCCAATAGCCTGAGCCAGAACATTGGAACCAGCATTGATCAGCGCAGCTTGCAAGGTCGCCCTAGCTATCGGAGGAAAAGCCATGGTAGATACTAGTAAAGCCAACGCGTGTGCCACAAGTTCGTATTGCCTGCTCCGGTGTCAGCTCGCAGCCACGTGGCCGGAAAATAACAAGATCTTCTCCGTACTTGGACCGATAGTAATCGTCGTCTGATCGGAGTTGTTGGCGATCTTCAGCACTTGCCTAGTCTAAATCGTGTCGGGGTTTAGATCGATCGGCCCAGAACCGCGTGGCGAGTTAATTAAATGAGACCTGGGGGCTAAAAGTGTGTTCCTGCGTTAAGGGGAGTTTGGTAGTGAGTTAATGATAATAAAGAATTCTCAGAAGGAGATGTGTCCTGTCTGGGCCTGGAAATTAAATGTTTTAAAGCGCCCGTGGAGTTAAGTTGTAGATGGGCCCTGATCAACACTAGTATCGGTGAGGTGAAGTGTGGGGTGGGTTTCAAGGGAGAAAAGGGAAGGTTTACACGCTGCCGCTGCCACTGGACCCTTGGGACGATGGTCGGATCCACACCAACATTTGGTTCGAGCCAGGAATGTACGGAGCTCTCTCTCTCTCTCTCTCTCTCTCTCTCTCTCTCTTCTGTCATTAATAGTAAGCAGCCAGCCTTATGTTTTACTCGCGTTGCTTATGCTGTAAGGAAGATAATCCTTACATATGCTACTACCAAATCCTATCTGTGTTTGCGTAAGATCATTCAACTATTTGTTGTGTTCGTTCTGATAGGAATAAATGAACTGACCCCGCCCAGTCTGAAACCGCCGTGTTAGACAAATTGGAAGACAGGACATCTGTCCCCAATGGCCCTAGAGTACCCCTTGAATCAATACATAAGAGTATTTGCATTAAACATCATTAAAGGCAACAGTTCACCAACTCGTTTCAACTGAGTTATGAGGCCACCAGGGCCACAACAGCAACAATACTACTTCGTCCTGCTCATACTTGTGCTTATGCATTCTCACCAGGCGAGACTCTTGTTGTTCCACGTGTCTTGGCAATCTAGGTCTTTGCAGACTACAGATACAATTTAGTACGACAGAAAGTATGGGATTGGAGGGAGTCGACTGACTTTGTTCGGCCTGCTCGAATCGTGCATTGGTTCTTGGCCTTCTCGTAGCGGGGAAGACTTCGGTTCCTAGTTGTTTTTCTAATTTGGCGTGAGACTTTACGGCCTCGAGGATTTCGCTTTGCGCATCTGATGCGTTGTTGGTAAGACTGATGTGTGGATAAAGGGGATTCTTGGTTTGAAGCTTACCTGTACCAGCTGGGTCTGATGCTGAGGTGACATAGGTGGGGAGCCTAGAGAAGTGGTTGTTTTAGTTCTCTATCTAGCTTTTGCGTATGTGAACGTACGTTGAAGTCCCAGAATGTGACTGAAACTGGGCTTCCAAATCTCGAATTTGCTTAGTCAATCTGCTGAAGAGACTTTCTGCTGCTGCTGAAGGCGCCGGACTGCTCATGTCTTTATGGGAGTATAAGTCAACCCGAACCGAGGTGCTACTCTCAGATATGGGAATGAAGCTCAAGGAGTACCAGAGTACCCCTCCGTGGACGGTATGAAACGTAGTAAAGGGGAAGACTTGTGTTTCGCCCGAGCGCATTCGTGGTTGGTTGAACAAGCTCAATAATAGCGCTTTATACTTTGGCTGTGGGAACTCAGTCTCCAGTTCTGTGTGGTCGATGAATTTCTGTAACCTCACTTATTCCGAGATTTCAATTACACATTAGATACATTGTAAGAAGGGAAAGGAGGAAGGAACTCACAGCCAATCTTCCAGTTGAACTGGCCTTCCACTGTTTGACCTCCCAGCCATGTAGACTGTTGTCCGATGCCGCATCTGGTTGCAAAGAAATCGAGAGACGTTGTTTGTATTGGCAACAGCGTCGGAGATGCGTCCAAATTTACGAATATAAAGCCAGCAGGGTCTGTAGTGGTATGGATCGAAAATAAACTATTCTGAGATTTGTCAAAGCCCGGAACATTGTCAAAGTGAGGCGCCTTAATGAGCTGTCCCTTGGTGTTATAGCTCCAGCCATGATACCGACATCCGAGGATCATAGAGGAGCCGCACTCCTTCCTCGTGACCGTGTATGCTCTATGACGGCAGACGTTATGGAACGCTCGCACGATGCCATCTTTCCCTAGCACCAAGAAGATCGGGATACCAGCTACTTCAAATGAATGGTAGTCGCCGGGTTTGGTGAACCGACTACGGTGTGCAAGGTATAGCCATCTCTAATTGATTTTAGGTGAGCAACCACGTCCGACTCCAGACTTGCAGAAGTGAAGCAATCGAGGCGCATAATACTTTACTGAAGATTGCCCGTCTTTCTAATTCAAAGACATCCGAGCCAGTCCACCAGTTTTGTGGAAAGTCTGATTCCTTGTGGACAGTGTTCTCGCTACCTTCGGAGACGGGATTCAGTTCGGTTTCCTTCGGCTTATCTACACGCAGGGACTCATAGCCTCGGAATAGTGGCCGTGATAAAGATTGAAGTAGAAAGGCTAGCCCCGCCAGCAATGCAATCAAGACCAAGGCTGATAAGGCGTGAGACAGAGCCGGACTTAGTTCTTCTAAAGCCATGTTGAAAATGTGTTGTTCGCCACACTTTTCTACAGGGAACTCGTTGTTTTTATGTGCTTACTATCGCACGAAAGAGGCCTGAGGATTCAATCGAGCAGTATCAGGAACAGAGCACTGACCCTGTCACCTCCACAAGTTTGCATGACTTCCGTTTCCCCGTCCAGTGAGAGGGGGAGAAGCCTTCAGGTGACCATGCACCAAGGTAAGTATATCTACTCCAGACCAGTATTGACCTTCCAGATATGGTGCTCTTTTCCAGTAACCTGCGCATGAGGTGACAATTCCTAAGGTATGTGTTGGGCCGATCCTGGCCAAGGGTTTATCTGATGCCACATCTTGATAGGAATCATTTACAGGGACTATCACAGGAGCCAAGCCGTGAAAAACACTGAAATTAACGCCACTGATAAGATTGAGCATTTTACCGAGTCCCGAAACCACGGCTTACACAGCTTTGTCTTATGCAGCTGTTGTGATACGTTGCAGACCCCTCTTCTGACTATCGTCTTTTGCATCTTCCAATTCCCTTTTCCGTCTCTCTGCTGTGTGCTGCTGACGCACGAGCTCGAAAACCCGGCCTTGATAATCTGCCCTCTAATTAGCTTAGAGTAACCTGGGCATATACTAGTTGATGTCACACAACTTACATGAAACACCGCTCTCCTTTTCTGGGTTGAGGATGCCTTCGCTATAGATGCCTTTGGTGAGGTTGTTTTGAGCTTTCTCACATAGTTCATAGTCTTCCATGGCCACCTGCCGCACAAATTTGAAGTATTCGTCAAACTTCTCGCCAGACTCCATATGATAGTAGTCAAACTCCATCCTCGTCACGTTCGGATCATCTGTTGGACATACTCGGAACGAGGACATTCCCCCACCATAGACGTTCAGAGTGCAATTGGGGAAGAAGTAGAGGAATAGACCATCATCAGGCTTTTCCGGGTCTGCGATATGCTGCGAAAAGTTCTGATGATTGTGCACCGCGTACGAGGTTGGCGGGTAGTATACGGAGAATGACGGGTGAGTATATTGGCAATGCAGGCATTCCTGGTAGCCATCGACCCTGTCGCGGAAACTAGGTCAGGGGGACATGATCTCTTTCCGAACACGAGGTAGAGTGTCAAATACATAGTCTTCCAGTTAAACCGCCCCTCGTATTTTATGCTGTGTCTGTAAGGGAGCTTGGTAAAGTTCACCCTCTGGAGTAGTGGCTCCAAGTCTGGGAAATACTCGTGGAAGCTGGGCGCCTCGTCCGAGAGAGTAGCGAAAACGAGGCCTGTCGGCGTGACGTGGTGTTTTAGGGGTCGCTCCTAAATGATTTTCAGCAACAAGGGACTTGATAGACATGTTATTTCTCGTGGGTTTGAACGAATTTCTAGTCTGATGCATATGAAGATGCCGAGCTCACCTACACTTTTCGCGCAGATTACTTGAATCTCGTCCTGTCCAGGAAACAAACCCTCCCCCGAGCACCGAACCACATATAAAGGCTGCTGAGCTATCTCATATTCAACCTTGGCGCCTATATCACAGAATCTGGTGACAGGACCGACAAGATACCATGACTGAGAACATTAGTGCTCGAATACCTTCGAGGATAAGTCGATCGTACTTTCAAAAATACCGCCCTCCTTTCAAGCTGATAGAGAGGCTGGCTGCAATACCAGGAGGCTGGCAAAGTGCGCATAAGTTCGGTCATTGCTGAGAGTTGAGATAGTCTCGACGCAGCTTGTCCATAAACTGCATGAAGCAGCGGTCTGGTATTTATGGATGCCGGTGTCCAAAGGCAATCAACCCTGTCCTCATGGAGTACATGGAACCATTATCCATTGGATAGCGAATCATTTCCTGAAGAGGGTATGAAATCCCGTGCATTAGTAGAGAAGATAGTATAAGCTAGGTCCTTTGTACCGGCGAATGACTGAAGGCCGGCAAGTCAGATGAAACCGGTCCAGAAGCAAGGTTGGGGTCCTGTCAGCCAGACACGTAGGATTGTCCGGACTAGTTTGGTCATTCTCTGCTTGACGTGACTTGGGGCAAGGGAGCGAGGTCAATAACAGTCCTGAAGTTTTGGCAAAATTAAGCCAAGGTAGTACTTTTGTGTGCAAAGTATCAGGACTAATCAAGCCCGACACCTCCTCCGTACCAGTAGTATTGATGAATGCCCAATCTGAGGACTCTTTAGAACTTCTTATTACCGGAAATGCCACATGGAAGGCCGATGTCAAAAAATTGGATTTCTCTGGGCGGAAAACTGAGCACCTATGGGTAGTACTTCTATTCTTAATGGAATTGCTACTAAAAGAAAGCATTTGCTGATCATGGTTGGTAGGTTACCTCCCTCTATTGCCACGCCCGTTGCTCAACATAAGAAGATAACGCTTTTCATATGTCGGTGCAATTTTCTCCTGAGAATAATACATGATTATTCCATTGTCCTTGCGTTGATTAGGGCTGCTGGAGTCCCCCAGCCTGCGAACTGTTGAGTGATTACTGCGATGTCAAGCTCAAATAGTACGTTATATGGCTTGGAGGGACCCGTCTACTTCAGCGCGTCGATCTTGGTATTGTGCATATTGCTGGCGATGACCATATCTACAGTTTTCGACACCAGCTTTGGCAGGACAGTAGGAGCAAGTGAAGGAATACCGCGTGGGCAACAGAATTCTTTTGTTATTGGATTATCAATATGATAGTTTCGCTGCTGCCTGGGCGATTCAGTCATCTATTTTATCGGTGGCAACGATGGAGGTGCTCAGTAACAAGGTAGTGTTGACCTACATAACCAAACAAGCACCGCATTTCAGGCAGACTGTTCGATATTCTGTGCAATAAAAACCACTTGCAAGGTAAGTTGAATACTCCCTCTGGGGTGATTTGATAAAGTGAAGGCGATCACATGGAAGCGGTGGACCCCACGATTACGTCGTGACCAGCGGTCGTGACTTGCTTTCTCTCCGCAATCATCACTTTGCCGACCGGCGCTGACTTTCCGGGCATTCCAGAGCAGCTTCAAAGAAATCCAGTTTCAGACCCAGTCCGCATTATGAGCAAGACCTAATAGTTTAGCCCCTTGGAAAAAAAGTCACTTCTTCGCTTCCTCCATTCGCTATGGCAGGCGACGGAATCCAATACACCCCTCCTCCCTCGCCGCCCTCGCCGACGGCGTCGTACTACGACGTCAGTGACGATGAGGAGGATGAATACAACACCATTTCTCATTCTACCTCACGCAGAGGTGTCAAGCTTCTGTTTTCTAAGAGCAAGGTAGGCTTTTTTCCAAGCTGGCAGAAGGATTTCCTCGCTGATCCATTCGATTCCGAGCATTGCAGGTCTACGTGCATCCAACTCCTTCCTCGAAAGATAACATCCCCGGATTTATTGCCCTCGTCCAACAAAAGCCCCTCCCCCCTCTTAGAGATACTACTTCCGGAAACTCCTCCTCGGACATCTCTTCCTACCTTCTAGCATGGGTACCCGAATCTTCTTTGGGTGATGCCTACAGTACCTATGTTAAAGTCGACCTATCCGACGGTTCTTCCCCTCCGCGACAGAAATACCTGGTGCCCGCTCTTCCGACGACGACAACCTATAAGGACCCGATCGGGCTCTACGCGTTCGCAGTTCCTCTGTCTGAAATTTATTCACTCCTTGTGCGACCTCCAAGTCTGGGGTGGTGGTTTGGGAGTCTTGTGATCAACACTCGCGCAGGCGACAGCTTCCCCGCGCTGTTCTTCCATGACACGGAGTGCGAGTCTACGATACTGCAGAAGAAAAAGCGAACCAGGGAGAGTTTTGATCCCTTTGGTGAGGATGGAAATGTCTTCTGGGGCGGGGATGAAGTTCTGCGATGGCTTCGGAAATATGCTGAGGTCCAGCGCTCGGCCGTGGACAATAGTGTATATCTGATCAACCCATCGGATGAAGATCGTATATCATTTGGACGACCTCTAACTGCAGATGGCTCAACTGTCAAAGCTCAAGATCAACCGGCTGCCGTTGCTCAGGCCAGCGGAAGCGGCCAACAAGATGCTGGGATGGACCCTTTTGTGAAAGCACTCAAGGAGACAAGGTGGAAGGTCCTTGAGCAGCTGAGCAAAATCACAACCTTCACAAGGCGCACAGCTAACGAGTTAGCTGACAACCCTCGGATACCCCCACAAGTCCGCCGTCTTATGAAGACACCTGAGATTCAGACTTTACAGGACGAGTTTGATAGCGCCAGGCTATACTTAGCACGGTGGGCCATGAGCATATCAGAGCAAAGTGAACGCGAAAGAAACCAACGTATATTTACTGCACAAGATGTTCTTAACATGGAGAATAGTTCTGTTGGGGATTTCGAAATCCTTGATCTTGAGACAGGTACCTTGTCTATCCAGGACCGTCGGAAGATACTCACTTTGAAAGAGTGGGAGGGTTTCTTCGACCCGAGTACTGGACGGCTACATGTAACCGTTGACGAAGTCAAGGAAAGGATATTCCATGGCGGATTGGATCCGAATGATGGCGTCAGGAAAGAGGCATGGCTCTTCCTTCTAGGGGTATATCCGTGGGATAGTAGCCATGAGGAACGGCAAGCATTGATGAACTCGAAGCGGGATGAGTACATCCGGCTTAAGGGCGCCTGGTGGGAACGGATGATTGAAGGCACGTCTTCGGCGGAAGAGTATGACTGGTGGAAAGAGCAAAGAAACAGAATAGGTGAGTTTGTCTGCAGCCTAAGTACTATGCGCCTTTACTTACAAATGCGCGCAGAGAAGGATGTTCACCGCACAGATCGTACGATACCCCTGTTTGCAGGGGAAGATATCCCCCACCCAGACCCGGATTCGCCCTTTGCGGATACCGGCACGAACGTGCACCTCGAACAGATGAAAGATATGTTGCTCACGTACAACGAATACAACCCGGATCTGGGCTATGTGCAAGGCATGAGTGATCTTCTGGCCCCGATCTATGCTGTCATGCAGGATGATGCAGTTGCATTCTGGGCATTTGTTGGCTTCATGGATAGAATGGTAAGCTCAATGGCAGCTAAACCTACTTCTTTATATGCTGATATGTGTGCAAAAGGAACGGAACTTCCTCCGCGATCAATCTGGCATGCGTGTGCAACTTCTCACTCTAGACCACCTTGTTCAACTCATGGATCCTCAGCTCTATCTCCATCTCCAATCCGCTGATAGCACGAACTTTTTCTTCTTCTTCCGGATGCTCTTGGTCTGGTACAAGCGCGAATTCGAATGGCCAGACGTCTTACGTCTCTGGGAAACATTATGGACCGATTACCTTTCCAGCAGCTTCCACCTTTTCATCGCCCTTGCAATCCTCGAAAAGCACCGGGATGTCATAATGGATCACCTGAAGCAGTTCGACGAAGTCTTGAAGTACAGTAAGTCAAACCAACAACCACTTCCATAGTACTTATAGAACCATCCCTAACACCGCCCTCACGCAGTCAACGAACTCTCCAATACAATGGAACTCGTTCCGATCCTCACACGCGCCGAATCACTATTCCACCGCTTCGAACGAGCCGTCCAGGCCATCGACAAGAAAAACAACTTCCCTGCACCTGCCGCCCATCAACGGAAGCCCACACAAGACTCCTCCGCTAGCACAAACAATAAAGGCAAATCACCCCAACGACCCCAAAATACTGCCTTCAGCAGTGGCGTCAGTGCCGGTCCCAGTTCAGCACCTGACAGTGAAGGAGAAACAAAGGTGGTCTCCCCGGAACTGAGGGAACTTTTTCACAAGGACATTCCATGGGCACGTAAATCGCCTCCGAAACAGCAGCAGCACAAGCAGCAGGAAGAGCCTGCGAAAGGAGAGTCGTCATCGTAGAGAGCAATAGCCTCCACCTACTTTGTTCCTCTCCTTTTTTGATTCTCCATTGGCGCCTATTTCCAAATCACGAATTATGACTCGTTTGTTATGTTTTGTTTTCTCAACTCTTCCTCATCTGTACCATGTAATGAAATGATTGATGGACGTCTATCTGGATATCTGCTCGTTCGAGATTCGTTTGATTTGATTTGGTTTGGTTTGGTACGGTATGGTGGCGTTTTACTATTATCTTTCGCGTACTGCGACTACTACTACTACTGATTATCTGGGCAATGCATCCATTTCCTTACGAGTATCTCTGACATTAAGAATCTACTAAACTACACAAAACGGAACATGGACAAAAGTAATATCAACAGATTCAATATAATCCTCACTATGTACTAAGTAAGTTATCAAACAAGCCAGCCAGTCAGTCCTTCTTTCTATCCAGCAAGAGGACGGACGGACGACATCAACAACAACAAAAGACCCAAGCCTACCGAAGGGTATCTACATACAAATCAAGGGCTAAATATAATAATAAGTGAACACGAACAAACGGACACAGACAGATACAGACAGGAGTCACGAAAATAGAACGGAAATGTGCCCGGTCAACCAGGACCGAAGGTGGAGAAATCATCTCTTCCAAGATAGAGGAGAGAGAGTAATGAGAAAAAAAAAAAAGTGGTAAAACAAGAATGAAACCCGCTGATGCAATGGTGGGAAAAGATGAAGATGGCCAAGACAGAATGATGCATGTCTTTGATGAAAAGGAAGAATGTGAAAGAAGAGAAAGAGAAAGAAACCTTCGCCCGATAATGCAACCGAAAAAGAAGGAAACGGACAATGCAGCTGTCTAACACTTTTAGTACCCCGTGTCCAAACCGAGAAACCCAGGAAAACGGCAAAACGCCAGTACTAGTAGACAATGCAGGCGAGAGGAGGGGTGGAGAGAGTGTGTGTGTGGGAGAAAGAGTGTAGATCAGGTGAGCGTATGGAAGGATTAAGATTAGGGTGATTGATTGTAGGTTTATCGTTTTGCAAGTCCGCGTAGTGCGACGCGTCTGCTAGAACCGGCCATTCCCAGGTCGCTGATACTTCTCGACTTGGGGATGGTTGGAGCCTTGGCTGAAGCAGGCTCCGGGTCCTGGGATGACAGGCCATAGTTATAAGGCCTTAAAGACGAGCTCCTCCGAGCTTGGCCAAGGACATCTTCAACCCACGCCTCACTCTCTGGGCTGATCGAGACATTTCTCGACCGCGGCTTCGGCCCTGCAAGGCCGAGTGGAATTGAATGAGAGTTGCTACCTGCAGCAGTGGTGGAGGGAGAATACGATCCGTGACGGAACTCGCTCGCTGAAGAGGCAGCGCCCATTGAGGCATTGGATGAAGCTGACAGTCTTCTGCGAGATGACACAGTCGACATAGGCGAGTACGAGGCAGTGAGCGAGTCGCCAGCTGCCTGCGCCGCCCGGAACTCGGTTACATCCGACACGTTCGAGGTGCGTCTGGTTTTGCGCACAGCCAATGATGAAGACGGCCGATTGCCGATGACAGACCGCGGCCGGGAGGGAGTGCGACGCCCACTAACGGAGTACGTGGGAGAGGTACGCGTGGACAGGCCCTGGACTTCAACACGAGGGGTATCTGAAACATGCCGGCGTCCATGGTGGATGGCATACTCCCTCAAATATTCAGCCAGGTCTGCCCATCCACCGCCAACTCGAACCATAACGCGTTCTCCATTCTCACCCACTGACCGAACAAAAAGTTTGGTCGGGGCAACCTTTCCACCTCGATGGAGGTGGTAGAGCTTCACAGAGCTCTCCTCTGGGGCGTGTGCATGCGAATATCTCCTGCGCGAGGGCGCAGCTGTCAGGGTCAAGGAGGGGGTAGGTGTGCTGCTACGGGACGGTGTTCCCTGGGGCGATATGGAACGGAATCGTTCCCTAGCCTTCAAGGGGATTGACGTCGCCGCAGAGCCCGCATCGAAGTCTTGACCATCAGCTGACATCAAATGGATTCGAGCAGGAAGGGTTGACAAGATAGAACTGATTTTCTCGTCCAGGTGATCTTTGGGTTTCCTCAGCTGTGAGCCTGGGGTGGATGGTCGAGATCCAGCCCTGGAAATAGCTGTAACCGAAGACGTGTCATCGCCAGATCGGGTGTTGGATCTATACGCCCCGATACTCTCAAGACTAGGATGCGAAGTTAACTGTCTCCTCAAGCGATTGGTGCTGGAGTGTACAGGCGGCTCCGACTGCAGACCACTACGGTTTGTATTTTTCGGAACAGAACCCTTCTTGTGCTCCCAGGCCTTGGACAGAACTTTAGCGGTGGTGCCATTGGTGACCGGTCTAGGGCTTCCTTGACTTGGTGCATCCAAAGGCTGGGTTGCAGCGCGCTGTGCGCTGTTGGAGGGAATGGCGAATTTGCTGATGTGTGCAGGCAACAGTGCCTTTTTCTGGCCCAGCCGCAAATCCGCATACACATCCGTGGACTTCCTGTTGGAAGCGACGCCATCCATATCACTACCGCTTTCGTCATCGTAATTCATCTCCAGCCTTTCGTTGATGAAACGCTGCAAGGGAAGACTGAGGTTTCGATTATGGGCGAAATTGGCACGTGGGGATGATTTTTGGTTATCCAGGCGGAGTAACCGATCTTCTCGCAACGTGTGGTCGCTCCCAGGTGGTACTGGATCGGATGACTGATAGCCATCCTGAAATGGTGGAGGAGTCTCAAGCAGCAGAGGCGTTCCATTGGAAGAGGATGTACGGGGCTCGTGAATCTCAGGGCTGGAGACGAGTGATGGATAATCAGAACAAGACGAATCAGTAGACGTGCGCCGGCCTCGAGATTTGTTTTTCTCCTTTTCAGAAGATAAGCGCCCTGGTCGAGACTTCGATAGTTTGATCGGACTCTCCAGAGGCTTTTTGGGTGTATTGCCACCATGGGACTCTTGGTGCACGTTGTTCATAGAGTGACTTGGGGGCTGCTTATCATTTTTAGAGTTTGCCGAGCGGGCAGGAGACTCAAGAACAGCATTCGCAGGTACCAATTGACAAGAGTCTCTTCGGTTGCCTGACTGCGCAGCAGGACTATCATTGGAAGTGGTTTGGGCCGCCACACTGACTGGGCTGGCTACTTCACTCTGAACAAGAGTGAGCTGCCGTTGCTCGCGGCTTTCAACCACGGGACTAGTGCTGTGGGTGTCTCTGGATACCACTTCGTTATCTGCGGGAAGCTTTTCCTGTAGGCTGAGAGGCGACTGGGCTGAACTTGTTCGTCGCCGTACTATCACACTACCTGCGTCCGATGACTGTGCGTCAGGGCTAGCAGGAGCCTGCAGATTTACTTCGGGCGAAGAATGACGAACTGCATCAGATTCCAACGATGGCATTACATCTGCGCGCCCATCCTCAAACAATGCAGGCGCATCTGTAGCCATCTTGAACGGGTCGGTTAACCCTGCGTCGCGAGCCTGGATGTCTAAAGAAGCCCGTGGGGTCACTTCTTCAAGTGTGCTCGGACAGGTTTCGCATAGGCTGACAGATGGCATGGTTGTGATTGTCTGTTGAGGAACAAGCGAGGAGGAATGATGCTCGGAATCAGGGTGATCAGGAGTCGAGTCATTGCATGTGCTCGTCTCGTTGCTAGTCTCCGGTTCCTCCAAGGACTGGGTAGCCTCCGAAGTGACAGGTGGAAGCGCCCGAAGTTCATCGGTCCGGGTACCTGTCTCTTCTAGCCCATCGGGAGAAGGTGCAATGATGTTGACCGTGGAGCTAGATGCCAAGGGTTCCTGTGGAGGGGTGATGGAGACAGTGCTTTCAACAGACTTGATCAGAGAATCCGTCGCATCGGATGTACCGGAAGATGCAAGGTTTTCGTTCACACTGTGAGCAGCCGGCATGACGGCCGGTTCGGATGCCGTTAAGTTCTTATCATCCTGAGCGTCACTTGGGGCAGACGGTTCGACGGGACTGCTGACTTCTTCCTCGGCAATAGTCTCCATGGGGAATAGGTGGCCAGCCTGTGACACAGGCACGGACGTGTTGAGGGCCAGTTTGTCGGTGTCTCTGATCTCGGGTGGTGCCTGTGCCTGCGCTGTCTCCGGGGTATGATATTGGGCATCCTTTTCAGCAGTGGCAATTGTTCGTCGCCATTCGTTTTCGACAGTACGTCGTTCGGCTTCCATAACCCATGTTCCGAATTCTGACTCGATAGCCTCCAGATCATCAATCCAGCTCTCGGGAAGCGAGTCCTCGCGTCCTTCAAGCGCATCGAGGACGCGGTCCAATTGTCGACCAGCAGACACGACAGTCAGTTCTAAGGTGGCCCTTTTGGCATGGTAGTTAGGGCGAGAGTACAAGGGACCATCTTCGTCAGGAAGAGTGGGTGACTTTATCAAGTCCAAGGCAGAATCCAGTTCGGAACGCGCCAGACGCAGTCGCCTGAGCAGTTCAGGTATCTGGCGCAGAACCAACAATCGGACGTCCCACGTAGACAAGAGACTGTTCAAGCGCGAAAGAAGCGGAAGAGCGCGGAGAATGGTGGCAGTGATGACGGCCGTGAAGTCACTGAGTTGGACATAGCTGAGTGGTGGAGGCACCGATAAGGTGCTATTGGCTGACGAAGGCCGAGACCGGACTGGAATGTGGGCATTGAGAACGTGCTCTTTAAGCTCATCCACATCCAAGACATCCATGCCATCGCGAATCTCCTCAATCCGCTTTTCATGCTGATCTACTACGGCTTTGGGAAGGCTTCCGCAGTACTCCTCAGCGGCAGCGCCGGGAGGGGGTACGAAGCCCTTCCCTAGTTGAATGTCACTCCGTTTCGGCCATTCCCAAGACTGGACTTCTTTATACCATAGATTGAGCTTCTGGGCTGCAATGGCTGCGCGGATACCGAGGGCGCGCTCTGCTGGGGAGACTTGCGAGATACTTTTGGAGAGGATATCGTGGGCGGCCTGTTCATTCCGGGGCACGGCATCGGTTGCGGACAGCGCTTGGAGAGTTGATTCGGGGGACAGGTTGCCGAGTAACGGGTCGAGATTCTGATAGTTAGGTACCGCCGGACGGCCCGGCGATTGGGACCGCGCCGTGGACAGACGAGTGGGTGGGTGAAGGGGGTTGACGCGACTGCTGGCCATGTCGGGATAGAACGGCAAGCTCCGGGAGAACGACGGCTCCCAGATAACCGGGTCAGGTCAGTCGCGGAATAATCAATAACGGGTTCTCAATGATGGGGGTCGAGCTGTGGTATCAAGTGTAAAAGAGAGTGAGTGTAGCTGAAGAGCGAGCATGCTGACGCGATCCCGCCAAAGTTATATAAAGGTGACAGCCAGAAGGTCGGGAGGGTGAGGGGGATTTGGGATGAGCTGGTACAATCGCGATCACCGGATGGACAGTTGCGGAGGTGCAGTGAATGAATCAGTAGGTTTATGCCGGAGCACCGTGACAGAGAGGACACCGGGGGAAAGGTCTGACAAAAGAGTGAGGAAGGGAACTAGGGCGAGAAAAAGAAAAGTGAGGGAATAAGAAGTCTAGAGGAGCAGAGTTTCGGCGGATGATGATAGATCACACTGCAGGGCCTCAAAACGGCTGAGGGGAGCCCAGGGCGAGGGAAAGTTGGGTGGCTGCAGGAAGAGCCCGATAGATAGATAGATAAAAGAACGAGGGTGGGATGATTAGGATCGGAGAGACCAGCTCAGTTTGGGCCCAGATGAAAAGAGTGACGAGACCAGTGGCGACGATGATTCGAAGACGGGGATATGCAGAGGTGAGTTGGTGATGGCGTGGACGGAGACGCGCGGGTTTGGCGATGCCAGAAAAAGGGTGGAGCCGCCGCCAATCGATTAAGGGGGAAGACGAGTTACTAAGTTAAGTATACCCAGCAAATGCCAATTAGCTGTGGATTCCCGTTGGAAGCCTTTTATTTTGGTTCTTTTCTTCATTATTATCTTCATTATTATCTTCATTATTATTATTATTATTATTATTACATATTACTTAGTCGGTTAGCATCATGACTGTGCTGGCCCTGTGAAATCGGCTACTAATTAGCCTCACCAACTGCCAACTGTACTACTTCCCTTCTTCTCCCCTTCTTATTCGCGCCTTGTTTTTGTCGAGACTAACGGAGGAATAATCCTTCCCCCTCACGAAACGAAAGCAGAGAATATTCAGAGAAATCTCGATCGATGCAGCATTGGATCTCAGGTGCCCATTCTAGGAGGGTGCCAGCATTTCAAAATGCACTTTTCCTGTGCGACATACTTACAGTACAGAAGGGAAAATCTCCCACCCCCTCCTTAATGTCTCACACACGAGGCTCCAGTCCCATGCAGCAGAGAAGACACATTCCCCTCGGAGTTGATGCGGGTCCCTCCCCCAAAAGATCCGCTCTCTGACTTTGGTTCTGTGTCCGGTCATCAGAATAAATGGCCGTGCCTCTTTTTTATCCGCTGGTTCCCGTTGGTAATCAATTGGGTTGACAATCCATGGGAGTGCGGCCCCAAGTGGTCGTGCACGATGAACTGACTTCGACCGCTTGTCAATAATCTCTTTTAATTCTTGCTTCTGATTGCCCGAGCGCAGAGTTTATCATACGGATAGCAGATCAGTGATCGACCCTCCCTTGCATATCGTATCTGGCTTGTTATTGGAATTCGTGAGCTACCCTGGACTATGTCTGTGTCCTCCCTTCCGTGCACATCCGCCTACCCACGTACCCAAACACACCCACTTGTGTCTTGCAGCCGTTGAAGTGGTCTTACCTTCTTCCTCTATATCCGAGGTTGAATCGCGGTGGCCAGCCACTTCTACTCGTCCATTGACGTGTACATCACTACTACTATGGATGTCGTCGTAGACAGATAAGTACCAGGCGACAAGGCAACCTTGACCTTCGTGATCCTCGATAGCAATCAAGGACCAGGCAAGGATCCGAAAGATAGGCATGACCAAGATATACACAGGTCAATCGTGCGACAAACAAACAGACCCCCGGAAGTATGAACAGCAGATGAACCCAAAATACAATCCCATTAACAGGGATACTAACACCCTTTGGTGCCTGGACTTCCCCTCTCCAAAGGGAGCAAGGGACGGACACCCGTCCGTGATCCCTTGAGATTGGAAAACCTAACCATACAGTAGTCTACCATTGTGTCAGTAAGGATGAGACATGTAAGGAAGATGAAGCAATCGAGGAATGCTACGAACCACGTGGGAGACATCCCATGGAAACATGGATTGCTACTGTTACTTCAGGGGGCGCACAGGACAACAGTATCCCACTGGCCATTTCACTAACTCGACATCCGCAAGGAGTAGCGGGAGAACAAGGTACCTTGCGATTCTAGCACACGGATCAAGTCTAGACTCTACGTACTCTAGAGTTATGAACCCAAAAATAACAAGGTTGGTTCACTGGAAGTTGAATCTCAGTCTAAGATGAAGTCGATGAGGCGCTGAGCGCCACCCCGAAGTATGCGGAGATATGTCCGTAAGAGATGAATTGCTCACAGCCAGTAGCCAGACTGAGTTTGCTTGATGTTTCATCGAAATAACATGGAATCTTCTATGCAGTTGTTGTCCTGCTTGCTTTATGGATAGTACACAGCTTGTGAAAAGCTTACAGCTCGCTCCCTTTCATATGCCTTGGTGATACCTATTGAATATGCTAATAGCAAGCAATCTTCCGACATATCACCTATATAAATCCCATTGTGCGATCTCAGTTCTGGAATGCAATATAGATAAATATCAACCATCGACGTACAGAGTAGTTTGTTTGTTCCCGCCGCAATGGCGATCCCCTTTTTCGCGATGTTTGGTTCGCGGATTGGCGGGAATCTCCACCGTCGCGGCCGATCCCCGAACTTATCATCGATAAGCACCTCTGCTCGAGTCTCGACCGTCTTCGGCTTCAATCAGACTGAACTAGTGTAGCATCAAATCTCTGTCCATGCAAGTAGTTCCCTGAATTCAAGATGCGTTTTCGAACTCAAATAGCCAACGCGTCTATCTTCTCCAGTAAGTGGCCTTCCCATCCCCTATCCCTTTCACCCAAGTTCCCCAGCCAAATCAGCCGTGTTTCAACAACCGCCGCCATCACCATACTTACAATAGACGCACCTCCATACTAACTCCACATTCCCCCCAGAACTAACCGCCTCCCTCTCCTCCCTGGGAAAGGTATGTTGGATGCGTCTTGAAAAAGACTTCATCCGCTTCACCATCATCCCCGATCAAGGCACGCAAGTATGGGTTCAACTCCCCATCGTACGTCTCCCCCCTCCCCCAAGCCTACTCCAAACTAATACTCCATCCTCAGGATACCATCTTCGAAGAAGAATCCTACATCTGTGAATCCAACACCGGAGCAATCAACCTCGAAGTCCCCATCGGCGCACTCCACCGCGCCCTGCGCTCCGCCGTATCCGCCAAACTAGCCAACCTCAGACTCACCAAAAAGGGCAACGTACCTCTCCTAGCACTAACTATTCGCGCTACCTCCTGGACCACGACATCCAATGCCCTGGACATCCCAGAAGCAACGACAACAACAGATCACTCCTCATCCACCATCGACAATGCTACTGCCACTGCCACTGCCAGACCATCGGGCACTGGGCCCCGGGAACGCGAAACAGTAATCACCCAGGAAATCCCCATTAAGGTACTCCACGAGTCCGCAGTCGAAGGACTCCACCAGCCACGCTGTCGGGATCCAGATGTAAATATCCTTCTTCCGAGCTTAATCCAGTTGAAGAGCATTTCGGAGCGTTTTACGAAGTTGGCTACGACTTCTTCCAATAAAACATCAGCAGCAACAGTAGGGGTAGGAGGAGGGGGATCTACTTCAACAACACCATCACTATCATCACCCAAGCTTGAACTCTCCGCTAACATGCACGGCTCCCTCAAAGTAGCCGTCGGGACGGACGCATTCCGGATATCGAGCGTCTGGACGGATCTATTGAATCCAAGTCTGGATCCTGGGCAGCTGGGCGATGGGAGGGAGTTGAATCAGTTGCCGAGTGAGAGGATGAGGGAGGTGCCGGCGGATGATGAGGCTGGGTGGGCGAAGGTCAGGATTGATGGGAAGGACTGGAGTCGGATTTTGAGTGTCGGCAGGTTGAATCCGAGGGTTGTTGCTTGTAAGTTCCTTTTTCTCTTTCTTTTCCAATTTCTTTCTCTAGGGTTTTAGGGCTAATGATGGCTTGGGGATAGCGTTTATTCATGAGACGGCTTTGGTGCTGTATGTCTTCTTACCGGGGAGTTGGAATGAGCAGGATTCATGTCTGACGGTAAGTTACCCTTTTCTTATAGTTTGCTGTGTGGGAGAAGGGCGAGGTGAGGCTGACTGGTTGTTGTGCAGTATTATATCACTTCTTATGCGGTTTAGTTGAGGGCACAGCGCACATGGCATATCATAGAATGATGATGGGTTTACGATGTACTGATATAGTAACACTGCTTGTTCTGGGATGCATATATGAACTACGGATATGACAAGTCACCTAGGGGTGGAGGTGCTTATCTACTATGAGTGACTACTACAAAGATATAAATTAGTCGAGCATCGTATTAATTAATCATGCACAAGAGCCATATAGTACACTTGCCACGAGGCATCATGATACCTCCGACATCAAGTTCGTCCATCTCCATAATCCGTATCATCAGAGAGAACAAAGGAAAAGAAAAGAAAAACATAGGAATAATAAGCGAATAAAACATATATGCACAAATACAACATACAAGTAATAATAAGAAGAGGGTTGGTTCATGCAAACAACGCCCGAAAGAAGCCGTCTTGCTCTCGGAGAAGACAGCATGCAAGACTTTTGGGGGTCTAAACCAGGCAAAAGCCAGGACGCGCTTCATAAAGTGTCAAATGCAAATGGTGAATCGAGGAGGAGATTCGTTAGACATTATCGGAATAGCGAGGTGATAAAGATTAAACCCAACACTGGGTCCGGAAGTAATGGCCGCAGTGTTCTTGGGCATGGCAAGGTGAGATGGATGGATTATTTTGCCATTACGTCAACATAGCGCCCCTTCTTCTTTCCTTTGGCTGCGGCGCCTTTGCGAGCCGTTGGTGCTCCCAGCAAGTCGTCGATGGAGCTGGCATTGCTCAAGG